AAGAACAACTTAAAACAGTTGCAAGGAATATAGTACACTGTGTAACCAGTGGAAATAAGCCCCCAGCTACTTTTGCAGGTTAGTTAGTGTATGCTGTATGCATTTTCATCAGACATCACTCTGGGCATGAGAAATGATGACATAGAAAACAAGCAACTGCTCACATAATCAAATGCCATATGAACTGACTTGGTAGACCAATTGCCAGTGGTTTAGCAAACTATGCGCTTCCTTGAAACATAACAAACAGGGCATCAGTTTTTTGTTGAAGGCTCCTTGAAGATTAAATCGTGTTGGTTAGCAGATGTTTTCCCATTGTGACTTTTTCCCTCTCTTTCATCTGTGTTTGTTTTAACACATTAGTAGAACAACTGATACCTCTATAAGTAATTTAATTTCTGGAATCAAAGTGGAGGGATTCATCTTTTTGTTTATCAGTGCTAATGACTTTTCATATATATGTAGCCAAATTATCTATAGGAAAACTGGAAGTGTTATTGAGTGATTGCCCAGTCAATTTTACAGCAAGATTAGGAAACTGATGGTTCTTTCCAGCCCTGAAATTGCTAGATAGAAGCAGACTGGTGTTCTTGTCCACCTCTCTGTGCAGAAAACTGAAATAGGTGTGTGGCTGTCTCACTTTCCCATATTGGGTATATTCAGCTGCAGAGTAGAAAATGTGTATTGCTTTCAAAGCGTTGCCTAGCAGCAGACTACAAGCTGTCCACAGTGACACTCATAATTCACTAAAGGGAAATAATTCGCTAAAGGGAAGAGACCTACACCTATTTCAGGAAAGCAGGGTTGCAAAAGCTACTTGAACACAGACCAGGAATTGGTTCACATTTGTTCTACATATCAGGCTTTAAAACCCTACCTACAAATAACACCCTCTGATATGCATGTTTCTTTGGTCTCCTTTCAGGTGTGAAAAGGGACTGGTTGCTCACTAGTGAAGGAACTGGTGTCATTCTCCAAGGTGTACTCTTGTTGCCTTTATTGGGCAGCTGAGCTCAAAGATGGGCCTTTGAGCTGATCCCTTTTTGCCCCATGCTCAAGAGTTGGTTTACGGTTCCATCCCATGTTGCTTCATGCTTCTCACTTCCCCTTTCCCCAGACAGCCACCAAGAATTTTACACCAGTGTAAAATTCCTTTGGAGAACAAAGCAATGGAGAATATATTCTCGTACCTTTGTAACAATTTTGCAAAAAAATCAAGGGTTGTCGAGTATTAAAGAATATGGAATCATGTACACAGGTTGTGCCAAATTCACAGCAACATCAGGAGTCTGAAGTCCAGTTGCCCAATTAGCAATTTTGTTGGGAATGTCCAACTCCCAAATTTCTCCTTTTCAGCTCTAGTTTTGCCCTCCACTCCCTGCCCCCCCCTGATTTTCCTGGAACCGATTTAATGACACTTTAACTGTAAAGGTAAAGGGACCCCTGACCATTAGGTCCAGTCGTGACCGACTCTGGGGTTGCGGCGCTCATCTCGCTTTATTGGCTGAGGGAGCCGGCGTAGAGCTTCCGGGTCATGTGGCCAGCATGACTAAGCCGCTTCTGGCAAACCAGAGCAGCGCACGGAAACGCCATTTACCTTCCCGCTGGAGCGGTACCTATTTATCTACTTGCACTTTGATGTGCTTTCGAACTGCTAGGTTGGCAGGAACCTTACTGGGGCCTTAATTAATGAAGGGTGCCCAGTTAAAACTGAACAAGCAAAATAAATAAGAAATATCACAAAATGTGGGAAAAGAGCAGGATTAGACGAATCTGGGGTTGAGGCCACAGTGTAACTACCGTCTTAATATAGGAGGAGGCTAGCTGTGATGAGGTTTTTCTCAGTTTCTGAAGAAGCAATTTCCATTTTCTCTGACAGTTAACAATGGTAAACCAGGTAAGAGAACACTGAAGCAGTATGCCTTTGACATCTTCCTGCCTGTCTTCCCAAGTTTTCCAAGCCTCTGCTATCTGTTTGGTATAAGGTGTACTTTATTGGAGGGAAGAATTATTCCAGTTTTAATATCCAAAAGGCAATTACAGACAAATAACTTAAGCCAGAGAGTTGACCTTCTCTGTGGCTGTGCCTGCTAAGGGAGGCCCATCTCGTCCCTTCTGAGGTGGCTTCCTGCCATTGTGCATAGATGCCTTTTCCTGCGTGCCTTTGCCTTTCCAAATTTCCCCAAGTTGTTAATTTAAGTGTAATTGTGTTATCTGCTATCTTTTTTTAAACTGTTTATTTTGTTGGTTTTGTATTGTTGGTTTTGACTGCCCTAAGCATTTCTTTTAACGGCGAGTCGGGATAAACCTGATTCTAATGAATAGCTGAATAATAAACATTTAATAGTAGATTTGCATTTCTTTGACTTGGAATACACTCCACCCCCACCCCCACCCCCCAAAATCTGGCATTTTATTACTCAAACAAAATCTGTGTTCATTTCCAACAGATGCCAATTCATCAGAATCTGAAAGAACTCCTTGTCATCAGAGCTGAGCTCCAGAAGAGGGTTGAAGAGCTGCAAAGGGAAGCAGCAACACGTTCCATTTCTTCTTCATCAGATCGGGGATCTTCTCCTGCAGCCACACCAGTGCATACCTCTGTCTGATGCAAGACTAAAACTATGGGCATGTTCTGGGCAGTGGAATACTCCACCACCCCTGAGAGTAATATGTCAACATCAACTCTTCCTGCTGTTATGCTGAGGTAAAAAAAAGTGCTTCCTTGCGTGTAACGCTGTAGATGGTGGTTGCCAGGGTGTTTTTTTTTGTAATGTGTCTTTTTGATGTCTCTAATTGAATTGGCAATTAGAAAGTTAATTTTTATCTTAAGCAACCTGCAACAGACTGCTCAGAAACTGGGAATTCATCTATCAGGTAAATGCTGCAGTGAGAATTTCCATGGAACTGCCAAGCCCACAGTGAGCCAAAACATACCCAGAGACCATCCTTCCTAAAAGGGGAACCCCTCTGGTTTCCTTGGTACTTATTATGTTTTTTAGGGGGGGACCACAACAAATACTATATTTCTTGGGACAGTTGTAGATGATCTGATGCACTTTGAAATGGATTTAATTTTTTAATTATAGCCAGTTGTATATTTTGAATAAATATGCCATTAAAGGATGAGCAGGATTTGCCAACTGCGAGACACTTGGTAGTTATAATATAATCTTCACAGCCAAGATTGCTAAATGAAGTTTTGCAATTTTTCTGTAGCTATTGTCCATTTATCTACCTGAGTGAGGTACTGAATTGACTCAGTTGTGTCATTCATTGCTCTGTACAAAACTTTAGTTTCAAATGGCCTTTTCACCTAGCTAGATTTTGAAATGTGTAAATTGCAGTTATTTTGTTTATCATATCTTGTTAAAAATCTGTACACACCAAGAGCCTTCGGTTGTTCTTATTGCATACAAGTCTATGCAAGGCCAAACACTCTTCTTAAGCAGAGTTACAGGAACTATTCTTTTCAAATGTTTGGGGGTGGAGGGTAGTAAATTGTAATGATAGTAAGTTTTTAAGGAAAAACTGTCATTAATTGGTTCCTTGAAACAATAAAGACTTGTTTTAGTCCTTTTTGGTTCATTTTCTTCTGGATTTGCATTGCCCATACAACGCGAGTGACCAACCAGCATCATGTCTATTCAAGTGACAGGGATTGGAGTAAGGTGGCTCACAAACTGTGGAGAAGTAGGACTGCACTTCAGCCTACTCTCTGGCTTGTAAAAGGCTAGGCAGAACCACTGGGGGCAGTGAAGGTGGCATTTGCATTGGTGCAACAGTATTCTGTTCGGACTTCACTTGTAGCATATTTGCCAAAAAAGGCTCACAGCCACTGCCAATCACCCACTTTTCTAGCCCCTGTAAAGACATCTTTGCTTTGGGATCATGAAAAGAAACTTCCTAAGAGTTAAAGCTGTTCTGCAATGGGGCAGTTTTGCTTGGGGAGGTGGCAAGCTGCCTTTTGCTCAAGGTGTTAAAGTGGAGGCTGGAGAAACATCTGTCAGGAATACTCTAGTTGTAGAGCTTGTACTGAGCAGGGGGTTGGATTGGATGATCTCTTGGGTATCTTGCAGCTCTGCCACTTCAGATGCCACCTTACACCGCCATATCTGTCCTATTTTCACAGGCTTGATGCTGAAACTCCCTTTTACGTTAAGCTTCATACAAAATTCCCAACTGGCTTTTATTACATGCTCAAAAGAATACTAGCTTTCCCCATACTAACTTTTTTCTTATAAATCCCATTTTGTTTTTAGTGTCCTAGAACAGAAATACATTTCTTGAAAATTTGCAGTTCAAATGGATTTCAAAAAGGGGGAAACTCTTTTTTAACAGTTGAAGATTTTCACTAAAAATTCTAAAGCATAGCATTAATTGCTAGATACACTGAGTGTGGGGGCATACATTGTTGGTTATATTTTTCTAGTTTAGAAAATAAAGCAGGCTTTAAATATTTGGGATTAAGTGTAGAAAACTGCAACTAGTCCCTTCTAGACTTTTTGTTTCCTCAAAGATCAGCCCCACTTTGCCATGTGGGAAGTTTCAAAAGAAACTTGTGATGTGTCAAGGACATCTGCTGCTCAAAGAAAAATGTCATGAAGTCCCACATAGTGCATGTCATGGCTTTGCAATGTTGCTTTTAGATACTGACTGCCAGATTGTTTCATGTTAAGCCTGCCTTTGGTCTCCTCCAGAGTAGGCAGGGTAGCAACCAGAGCTTTAATTTTTAAAACCAACCAAAAAGGAAACAATCCTTTTCACTCAATGTAAAAGGTAGAAAAAAAATAATTTGTGTGTCTCATTTGAAAGTAGGCATTGCTGCATTGGAAATCTGACTTGATGGTTGCAGAGACAGGTATATGCTTTACAATTCCCCAGCTATTGTTTAAAAAGATCCAAGTTGCCTGCAGTTTCCCTCTCCTTTTTCATTTTGGAAAAGAGCTTGCTGGCCTTGCGCTGCAAATGCACGCCCACAGAGCACACACACAGGCACATTGTTGTTGTACAAGTCTTTAATTTTTTTATTGTTTTCCAGTTTGTAGTTCAGCAATCAAGTTCGGATTTCCCTCCCCTGTAATTCTTATATGCACTTTAGCAAAATGAGTCCGCCTTTTGACAGCATAATGCACAATTTTCATCTGGGACAGATCATTTCTGTATTAGCTAAAGAATTGTATGTATTGCTTAAATAAACGCTTGGCATCTTTTGGACACAATCTACTCTCTTAATCTGCTGTCTGGGTTCTCTTCCCCCTCCCCTCCCTTTCGCCAAGTTCATCTATTTGCTTTTGTTTCCTTCTATGTTTGTAAAGTTATGCACTTTTCTCTCGGATGAACCTCAATTCACACAACAGCAAACAATCTATTGACAATGATAATGTATAGTAAACAGGGCCATTTGCTGTTAGTTGCATGAGACAGTGACAGCTGACGCTGTGGCCTTAAAACACTTTGCCAAGAAAGACACAAGTTAAGAAAGAAAAGAGCCAAGCCAACACTTAAGTGAGTTAATGTGGCTAGATCCCTGCCAATATTCTCATAATTTTGAAAAATACAGGAAACCACTTTCCCATTCTCTAATTAGGCATCTTCTCTTTACTTGCAAGAATGTGTGTTGTGTATAAATTCAGGGCACAGGAAGGGGTCTTTTATATATATATCTTTGGCCTGATGGAAGACTTTAATGCATGTCACTTGACCTATTCTGGAACATCTGGCTGAGCTTATTTATGTGGCTTTTCAGTGCACAGATAGTTTTAATTATGAACATAAAAACACAAGAGCAGAAAAACAGAAATGGATCCCTTCTGGAGGTGTAGTACTACAAAGTTGGCACTGCTACAGAGAAATCAGCCAGGAAAAGCCAAACATATTGTTGGTTGTGTACAGACAATGGAAAGAAGGTCCCCATGGGGAGAGGTCATAGTTCAATGGTAGAGCACATGCTTTGCATGCAGAAGGTCTTGGGTTCAATCCCTGGCATCTATTTAAAAGGATTTCAGATATTAGGCCTGGAAAAGCACTCCTTCCCTCTCTGTTTGTCTCAGCCTCCTAAGGTTTTGGAGACCCACTGCCAGTCAGAGCAGACTGGGCTGAGCTAACTAGATCAATGGTTGTTTCACGTTCTATTAATAGTAATAGTGTAAGCAGAACTCTGATCAGCAGTTAGCTTTTCTGAAACGCTGCTGTAGAAGGAGATTAGTGGCCACCTGACAGGTCTCATAACTGTAGCTGCCACTTTCATCCCTGGCTGAGTGACTGAGGGTGGGGAGTGGGCAGGTAGCTCTTGGGGCCAGGCTTAGCAAAGGGGACTTCAGTTGCTGATCTAGCACAAAGAACCAGAGAACAGAGCTGCTTGTGTACTTTTGAGTGGAGAATGCAGTCAGTCCCCATTATCCAACAAAGCAGATTTCTTTGGGGATACGTTCAACTACATTTTAAAGTGGTTCTACAGGCAATAGTAATAGTGATAATTGCCCTGTATGCCTAATGCTGAATTATAGTGCTATAACATTTTAAACAGGTGTCTCCTGTTTGCTGTGCATTTCTATAGTTTTGATTTTTATATTCTACCTAAAATTTACATTAAGGCATAACCATTTACCAAATTCATATAAAAAGGCTTTGGGGAAGGAAGTAGCTTAAAGGTTAACCTACTGTCTTATCCTGAAAGCCCGATATCTTACTTATTGGAAGTATTGTGAGTTTTTGTTTTTTACACACACACAAAAGAAATCTGCAATACATACACATTTCAAATGACTAAGTGGTTAGTGGGTTATTTTCAACACTCAGATGCACTGTTTTTCAAAATTCAGATCAGTGGCTGGACAGTGCAGTAATAGAAATACAACAAAATTGACAATTTACATCTACAGAAACATTTCCCATCATTGGCAAGAAGAAATAAGGAATTATATTCATTTATCTGAGAAAATGACTCCTAGTGCAAGTACTAGCATCATAGTTACACTTATTATTTCCCCGCTATTTATCTAAAGATGCACTACTTCATCCTACTCTAATCTTTTATGTACTTGACTAAAAAAAATTAAAAAAGAGATATGCTATAGTAGTTGGAAATTACCATTATGTCAATTCAGCTGTGTGGTATTGTTAGTATCTGACTAATTTGTGCTCTGCAAAAATTGCAAACCACAGCCTTCCTAAAAAACCTACTCTACAGTACTTAAGGGTAACTTCAAAACGTAGAAGCCCCCCAAACTGTTTCCATGACAGTACTCCACCAGACTGAACGCTCCTTTTCACATGGTTTCACCTACTTGAGTGAAGACCGTCCATGGCACAGCAGGCTTCCAGGCAGAAACAACTTTCTGTGGCTTCCGTTCTGGTGACCAGTGTATGAAGCACCCTTCAATAAGCAAGTAAGCTGCATTCCTTCTTAGATGTATTGCCCTGCTTTACTCCCATTGAAGCGAACAGTTAAGATGAGAATTTAGGAGTAAAAGAGCTTATCGTAGCATTGTCATAGAAGCTAAATACATTCAAAAGGTGTGAATTTCTTTAAAGCTACTGTAGGGCTCTTGAAATGCAAGTGGTGAAACAAAAACAGAGCAGAAGGAATTTGCACATTTGTCATCAAACGTCTAAGCTACAGTTTTAAGCACCATTTCATGGAGGCATGTTCCACTGAAATCAGTGGCACCTGCCTCAAAGAGGACATGTGTGAGGTGAGGTGAGGATCTCAGGGCAAAATTTCATCCTAGCTATACCCCTAAGACCCAATCCAGCTTTAATCATGGGTCATAACAACTGGTGGTTCCATTTCCATTAAGAGATTTATCCAGCCATGTCAGTAGAGTCCAGATGCAAAGCAGCATCCCCCGCTACTTCCACCTGCAGATCTCCCTTGCTAGAGCAGGGTGCTAATGTTTCCAGATTCCTTTTAAAAATATATCAGTAAAAATTAAGCTTGTAAACAGTCAAAAGCTAAATGGATCTTTTATCCACAAGAGTTCTTTTTCACCACCTTATGATACAGATGTGTGCATTTTTTAAAAAAGAAACAGTACTCCCTTTTTAATGACTCGCTAACATCACTGATAATTCATAATCATACAGAAGTATTCACCTTGTTACAATGGTGAAAAGTGGGACTGTTAAAAATCACCAACATGGGCCAGATATTTTATCTAGATTACTTCAGAGCTCAGTAGTTAAGAGTGCATGCTTTGCACCAAAGGGCTCTCAGGTCATCCTTGGTATCTCGTTAGAGATCTCAATTAGAAGGTCAGAACCCAAAGTGCAACTAAGTTGGAGGTTTTCAAGCAGAGGATGAACAGCCAACTGTTGTGGGTGCTCTCACTCTAGACTTCCTGCATCAAGGCAGAGGTTGGAGTCAGTAGGTTGCATCCAGCCTTGGTTCTACTCCAAGTAGACCTATTTAAGTTAATGGACCTAACTTAATAATCTCCATTAACTTCAGTGGGTCTGCTTTGCATAGGAATAGCCTTGGTTACAACCCAGTGGCCTACAAGATCACTAGGAAACTAACTGAGCTCTTGATCCATGGTTGCATCACATTTTGTGGTTTAATTTCCTAGCTGAAAGCTCTTAAGTTCTGTTCCTGGATTTTAGCCAACCCAGGAATTAGAGCCTGACAAAACAAAGAGGAGCAAGCTAACAGTTGCACTGCAACATCCTCTGTCACTGCACAATAGATTGTGCGACTGCAACCTCCGTTATTGCCCAGTGCAGCAAGCAGACTCGCAATCCTGGAAATGCAAGCATGTTCTAAATCTGGAGTAAAATAGAGCAAAAAACCCATGTTGTCAGTCCAAGTCTATGGGACTGAACAGGGAAGGGAAATCTTGCTTTTCTTTGCCGGCGGAAGGGCTTGGGTATAGGTTCAGATTCTGACCTCCTGAAATGTCCCTGGATTTTTAAATAGGAAACATTGCATCCACAACAACTAGCTGCATAGGGTTCTGGTAGCAAAAAAATTCAGGATGTTTATATCTGTAGAGAAGCCCAGTTGTATGGGGTAATATTCACCTGCTGTCCTCTGTCAAATGAAGACCTACCCCACAGGCACTTGTATATCTTGAGGTGTAGCTACTTAAAGGACTAAACTCCACCCTCCAACATTCATGTAACTTCCACTGTTATCAGTGGAAGCTACATGCTTATGGCTGACAGCCGGAATTTGGCTGAAAGTCATTTCATAAAGGTTTTTTAAATGGTTTGCTTTGGACTGTTAATTTACAGGCACTTCATTTGTTCTCACACCTGTAGTCACTAACTCAGCTGCTTCTCCCCCCCCCCAAACCTTCATGAAAATCCCTAACTCTAATGTGAAACACCAATTTGAAGCACCCTTTTGTTCTTGAATTCAACCTGACAAAACTCCTACATGACCATGTGAATGTAAACCTACAACTCTTCACGAAGAAAAGAAAAAAACCAGAATACCAGCTACCACAATAAGAAGCCTGTCTTAATCAGAAGAACGCACATTTAAATAGCTTTGGATCCAAATCAAATGTTTGTAAAAAGCTAAATTACAAGCATGTGAGAAGCGTGTGTGTGTGTTGCCATTGATTCTTCTCCAGACCAAGTCTGGGATTCAGACTTTTGCGTTTTCTTGTGGCGGAGGTGGCTCTGCAGTCTGTGGCTCAAGGACAGAATATTTAACTGGGAAGGAAAGAGCGAAAGTTAAGTCAGTGTGAATTAGTCTTCAACAAAATTGTTTGCCTCATTTGAGCCTGAAAACAGTATCTTACCTTGTGGTTCTTCAGTCACCACCGCTTCCATGTTTTCTCCTTTCACGTACTCTGCATTAAGACCCTCTGAAAGCAACAACAGATGAAAAACATTGGCACTGAAAGACCATCATTTGCAATGGTGTTTAGGAATAAAGGGTTCATGCCTTGAGAAGAAGGAGTGTCATAGCAATGGGTTACAATGAGCACTCCATTCAGGCACAGCAATTATGGCAATGAGAGGATGACTCTTACATACGTGTGTGTGTGTTTGTGTGTATGTGCACCAACACAGGGCTGTGGGCACCTGACCCAGCTGGAAGCTTGCAGCAGCAGCAATGGTATAAACTGGCACCTGCAGAATGCCACATATATTGAAAAGCAGACCCAGCAGACACATGCAATGGTTGCTTGTGTATTTAATGCACTTTGGCCGAGATTAATCCACATATATTTCAAGTTATTGACTAAAATCTCCAAGTGTACTCAAAATAATCAAGCCTGCCCAATAAAGTGACTAAATGTGTATTACAAGCTGTGAAAAACGCAAATGTTTGCTCCTTGAGCAGGGGTAAATAACCTGTGACCACCTAGATTTTGCTTGTACTTCCATCAGTCACAGCCAGCATGGCCAACTGTTCTTTATTTAGTTCTTTCTTTCTTTCTTTCTTTCTTTCTTTCTTTCTTTCTTTCTACACTGCTTGCATATGCCTGCTCTCCCTTTGGAGACATAAAAAACAGCAATTGTTGTTTTTACCAGGCGATTGTCCTTAGCAGGTTCTGCAGGCAGCACAGAAAAAGAAGCCCCACTCACTTTAGTAGTCGAGTCCCAAGTGCAAACTAAAACTCTTAAAGACACCTTTTGATATGTAGGATTTTCAGCTGGCGACTACAGTAAGGGAAAGGTTTTGTACTTTTATTGCTAAGCTTAGCTGTTTACACTAATATTTGTGTGTTTTTTTAAAAATGTTTTAAAGCAGGCATAGGCAAACTCGGCCCTCCAGATGTTTTTGGGACTACAACTCCCATCATCCCTAGCTAACAGGACCAGTGGTCAGGGATTATGGGAACTGTAGTCCCAAAACATCTGGAGGGCCGAGTTTGCCTGTGCCTGTTTTAAAATGACATCACAGGGTTTTTAAAGCTGCTTTGGGAAGTTTGAACTTAGCCAGTTTTAATGTTTCTCTTACATAACGGTCTAGGAATTTTTCAGTCTGCCTGAGCTGTTGCACTAGCCTTGCATGATAAACTTGCCTGTATAGCCAGCTTGTGGCTCCTGGGTTGTATTTCAAGTGTAGGGGATCAGCTTTACAAATTTGAGCACACCTGGCTACTTCAATCAAGAACTATCACACTTTTAAGCATCTCATATAGATTTTGGGCCAAAGTGTGGCAATTATTCATTTTATCAATCTGTTCTTAATAGTCCCTTTTTAAAAAGGGATTCCAGATGTCGCCTTGATGGTTACTCTCAATATAGGTTATGTAACGCGTATTATCTGTTTCCCACTTTATCCACTTGATATACTGATGGTGTTCAGCACAAGCATTGTTCAAATCGTTCAGAGAACTATGATGGTGTTCCTTTATTTGTTTTTGGTTTTTTGTTGGTATTTACAGCTGCCACACTGAAGGCATTTATTGAAGCATAGGAAGCTGCCCAATTCCAAGTCCACCTAGCTCAGTGTTGCCTGCACTGACTGGCAGTGGCTCTCTAGGGTTTAAGACAGGGGACATTCACAGCCCTCCATGGAGACTGAACCTGGGACCTTCTGCATGTAAAGAAGAGTTTTGCTACTAAGCTATGGCCATTCCATTTTTTGGATAATTCATCTGTATTAACAAATTCTTCTGAAGTTCATGCAAGCTACACCTGCCCAAAATTCCCCCTTTGACACACCTATTTAAAAGGTGTAGGGCCCCCATCCTGTTATTGGTGGGCCAACCTAAGCAAGCTGCAAATGAGCCTGAATATCTTTTGCTCTAGTGCCGTTCCTGCTTTTCATATCCATGTGTACATTGAACATGGGCAGAAGAGTTCCGGCTGGCCACACCCCCAGTTCAATCTTTATTCACTGGGCCAAAAAAGAGGATGCAATTTCAATGCATGTTCAACAGTTTGGTCTGAAATAAATGAGCTCTCCCCACTCTGTACAAAGTTCCTTTGTTTCTGTACAAAGACAAAGGGAAGAAGAGGCCTTCTACAACCAAGGGCAAGCAGAAAGCGGCATTCAAGTGACTTTAATTGGGTAGCACAAAGGGTGTCGTTGGACAAAATGACCATGAACGCCACAACCCTACCACTCAGCTAAAGGGGAATGGCTTTAGCTGAGTGGTAGAGCATCTGCTTTGCACGAGAAGGTCTCAGGTTCAAGCCCTGGCATCTCCAGGGACCTCCAGGGCTGAGAATGTCCCCTGGTTGAAGTTTTGCTGCCTGTCAGTGTGAACAATGCTGAGCTAGATAGACCAGTGACTCAGTGTAAGTATATGTTCATGGGAGGTTGTTGGTGTGATGAGTGCCCCATTAAGTGTGCTTCTTTAGGGAGATGCCTAGTTTTGCCTCTGAGCTACTGCACTCGTGCAAATTGTCTCCTCCTGCCATGTTTATGTAAATGGATGTTTGCATTGGTCATTCAGAAGTGCAAAAGGGCAGCTCAGCATCACGTATGAATCTGCCTAGGGGTGTCTCCTTGTGCTGCAGCCCTATGGCTCCTGTACAGACCTCTCCCTCTTGCCATGTGTCTATGATAGCACCAAATGCAGTTTTATGTTCGTCAATAAAAAGTCACTTCAGTGGCTGACGCGCCAGCCTCCGCTGTGCATTGCAATGCATCTAAGGCATGACATTATCCCAGCACGCCATGTCTGATGGCTTAAATTAAGCCTCCTTTATAATTAACTTTAATTTCCTGCCGTCTTTCTAGGGTTTTGCCTTCTCTCAGTGCTGCCTTTATTGAAGCTTTTTTCCAGAGAGAGAAAGAGAGAGCATGTGTGTGTGAGAGAGAGAGCGCAAGCAAAGAGTTTTTTGTTCTTCAAAAATATCACTGATGGGGCAAAGAAACAACACAAGTAAAGGAGGGGTTCATTTTATCACATTCCTCTTGGCTTTCCTGCTGGCTTAATTTACTCAGGCACACACCTGTTTGTTTTAGAGACTCCTGTGAAAATAGCAATTTCATTGCAGGAGGCTGAGTGTGGTTCCTATCCCTGCAGCTAGCAGAGGGAGATGCACTAGGAATTTGATTTTAAAATGAGAGATTCCCACTATTATTAATAAAAGCCCTTGGAAACCCTAGATTAGTATTACCCCACAGTCTACACAATGCACACTGTCAGAGGCAGTAGCCTCTGCATGCCAGTTACTGGGGAGCGCATGCGCACACAAACACACACACACACTCTTACGTCATGCTTTGGGGGCTTCCCATTGGAGCATCTGGTTGGTCACTGCGAGTACAGGACGCTGGACTTTGCTGGGACACTGCCCTGATCCAGTGGGGCTCTTCCTATGTTTTTCGGCAGCAGCTCTTTGGGATATGCATGAAATTATGGCCAGGCCTAAGTCAACCTTCCATGGGCCCCACCATGGCTGTGAGTGCTGAAGGCTGCTCCCTGCAACGCCCTTTCCACCTGGCCTAGGGGGCAGGGCCCAGACTCACCAGCTCTACTAAAGAGGCACCGGGTGAAACCCGAGGGACATTGCTATGCCTGACAGCAAACCCTAACTATTGGATTCTTTTGCCCCATCTTTTCGTGCCTGCCAAACAGCCGTGTCATACTTACGACAATATTTCATTCTCTTGTTAATTATGCTGTTTTAAACGTGCATTTTATATTTGATTTCATTTAGCAATGGTTTTCGTTTTTCTGAAATATTTAAGATTTTTGTTGTTGTTAACTTTGTTTGCATCAAATATGTATTCTGTAGATGACCTCCTTTGCAATGTTTTATTTTGAAATCTTTAAGATACTATTTTCGTTTTCTGTTAATTATGTTGCTTTGAATGTATAATATCTGACATTCTTCCAAAATGTTTGATTCTGGGTTGTTTTATTGATGTTTTAATATGCTGTAAACCGCCTTGAGATTTTTCTTAAAAATATAAAGTGGTATAGAAATGAAATGAATAATAATAATAATAATAATAATAATAATAATTGCAAGCTATATATTATGCCTGGTTAGCCTTTTCTGTTCTTAATGTCCTTAAGCACCCCAATAGGCTGAATCGGACCTGGCAGGTTGGAAGTTGTGCAAGCCTTCCTCACTGCCAGGACAGAAGTTCAGGAGAGAGCCAATTTTTGAACACACCCCACTTCCTATATTGGCATATATTGGCAATGCAATGATGTTCCTCTGCTGGGCACTTTTTGTGAACAAGGTTCAAGACCCTACAGTGGATGGGAAGGCTGGTTCTCGACCCCTTCACAAATCCTTAACACCCATTTGGGGCTTCACTCCAACTTGCAGACAGGCCTTGCAAGGGCAGGAAGAGTCACTTACGTTGTATGCTGAAGCAGAACTTCTTTTGCTGGTAGGAGATGTAGCTGCTCACAGCACCAATCAGGGCCATGGCAAGGCCACTGACAATGCCAGCAATCGTTCCCGTCTCTACTACTAAGGCACCTGCAAAAGGCCAGCAGAAAACATACCAGTGCAGAAATGTGTCAAATAAAACATACAACAACAACCACCAGTTCATTATTTATACCCCGCCCATCTGGCTGGGTTTCCCCAGCCACTCTGGGCGGGCAGCTTCCAACAAAATATTAAAAGTACATTAAAACATCAGTCATTAAAAACTCCTCTAAACAGGGCTGCCTTCAGATGTCTTCTAAAAGTCAGATAGTTTTTAATTTCCTTGTCATTTGATAGGAGGGCATTCCACAGGGCGGGCACCACCACCGGAAAGGCCCTCTGCCTGGTTCCCTATAGCTTCACTTCTCGCTGTAAGGGAACCACCAGAAGACCCTCAGCACTGGAACTCAGTGCCCGGGTTGAACAATGGGGGTGGAGACACTCCTTCAGGTATACTGGGCCGAGCCTGTTTAATATACATTTAATACAGGTCCTTCATGCAGTCATGCTTGTTAATGTACTTGTAATTGTCAACCTATTACTGTGTTGATTTGTTTGCTAGGTATATCACAGAGGTCTGCTTCACATCCAATTCTGTATTACAGTTTGGCATTGTGTGAATGAACCTTTTTCATTTATGTTTTCCCCTCTGATTCAACGAGTTACTTCGTCTTTACAGAAAACCACAGTTGATGTCTGAATTAGGAAGTTATTGTTTGTACCTGAATACCATAGAAGGATCTTGCACTAAAATTTTGAAGCTGGTTTGTAATCCTGGTTTGAGGAGCAATCAAAAGTGGCAACTTGCCTAATCAGACATAGCAGCTTGTCCTCCAAACAAGGATTTACAAATGAACCTCAAACTCATCTGCAGTTCAGGTATGGAGTGTAAATCATAGTTTGCCAGTTCAGATGCAACAGTAAACTAGGGTTTGCACTAAAGAAGAAGTACAATGAATTTAGCAAGAACAAACATCTACCAAAAAGAGATGGGAACTTCTGTACTTGATTCAGCATTGAGGAGCTCCTACCTTTAGGTGGATTGAGCTTCCGCCTTGAGCAGGGATAGGCAACCTCTAGCTTGCAGGCTTCTTTTGGCCAATCAGGTGGTCCAATTTGGACCACAAAATCATTTTCTCCAAACCACACCCAGCCACCAGCTGTGTCACTGGTGTTAAATCCTGGATCGGCTGGGTCCTCTATTCCTATCAGAGAACAGGATCGCACAGCCAAAGCAGCAGGATTTAGAATCATAGAATCATAGAGTTGGAAGAGACCACAAGGGCCATCGAGTCCAACCCCCTGCCAAGCAGGAAACACCATCAGAGCACTCCTGACATATGGTTGTCAAGCCTCTGCTTAAAGACCTCCAAAGAAGGAGACTCCACCACACTCCTTGGCAGCAAATTCCACTGTCAAACAGCTCTTACTGTCAGGAAGTTCTTCCTAATGTTTAGGTGGAATCTTCTTTCTTGTAGTTTGGATCCATTGCTCCGTGTCCGCTTCTCTGGAGCAGCAGAAAACAACCTTTCTCCCTCCTCTATGTGACTTCCTTTTATATATTTGAACATGGCTATCATATCACCCCTTAACCTCCTCTTCTCCAGGCTAAACATGCCCAGCTCCCTTAGCCGTTCCTCATAAGGCATCGTTTCCAGGCCTTTGACCATTTTGGTTGCCCTCCTCTGGACACGTTCCAGTTTGTCAGTGTCCTTCTTGAACTGTGGTGCCCAGAACTGGACACAGTACTCCAGGTGAGGTCTGACCAGAATACAGTGGCACTATTACTTCCCTTGATCTAGATGCTATACTCCTATTGATGCAGCCCAGAATTGCATTGGCTTTTTTAGCTGCCGCATCACACTGTTGGCTCATGTCAAGTTTGTGGTCAACCAAGACTCCTAGATCCTTTTCACATGTACTGCTCTCAAGCCAGGTGTCCCCCATCTTGTATTTGTGCCTCTCATTTTTTTTGCCCAAGTGCAATACTTTACATTTCTCCCTGTTAAAGTTCATCTTGTTTGTTTTGGCCCAGTTCTCTAATCTGTCAAGGTCGCTTTGAAGTGTGATCCTGTCCTCTGGGGTGTTAGCCACCCCTCCCAGTTTGGTGTCATCTGCAAATTTGATCAGGATGCCCTTGAGTCCATCATCCAAGTCGTTGATAAAGATGTTGAATAAGACCGGGCCCAAGACAGAACCCTGTGGCACCCCACTAGTCACTCTTCTCCAGGATGAAGAGGAACCATTGATCAGCACCCTTTAATCTCTGCAGATCAGCTGAGCAAGAGCAGCAACACCAAAAGTATGCTTTTAAGAAGCACTTTAAAACAGCCTGCAGTCCGGTTTCAGCTGAAGCAAGCTCACATGGGCTGTTTTAAATAGCTTCTCAGAAGTGCTGTTTGAAGCATCTGCCCCCTTGTCCTTTAAATGAAGGAAGAGATGATACAAAAGTGCTTTTGAGAAGTGCTTTAAGGTCCCATTTCAGCTGAAAATGGGACCTTGGCAGCTACTTTCAAGTGCTTCTCAAAAGTGCTATTTGAAGCAGCTCACACACTTCTTGTGCACTGTTTGAAGCAGCTTGTGCAGAAACACACAAGTGCCAATCTTTAAGGGGGGGGAGAGGAATGCCTCTCCCCTTTTAAGTCCTTGCTCTGATCTTAAAGCCTCCCCCACCCTTATCAGATCCTGATAAGGATCTTGTCTAAGGGGACGAAAAGGTTCCCCTCCCCTGAGTTTTAGGCAACAGTGCCTGTTTGCAAAGGGCCTTTGGCAAGGCTGAAATTTGACTTTACTTAAAAACTATGTGTGAGATCTAATGTCAGCTATACTCAAGAGTAAAGGTAAAGGGACCCCTGACCATTAGGTCCAGTCATGGCTGACTCTGGGGTTTTGGCGCTCATCTCGCTTTATTGGCCGAGGGAGCCGGCGTACAGCTTCCCGGTCATGAGGCCAGCATAACTAAGCCGCTTCTGGCAAACCAGAGCAGCGCACGGAAACGCCGTTTACCTTCCCGCCTATTTATCTACTTGCACTTTGACGTGCTTTCAAACTGCTAGGTTGGAAGGAGCAGGGGCCGAGAAACAGGAGCTCACCCCGTCGTGGGGATTCGAACCGCCAACCTTCTGATCACAAGTCCTAGGCTCTGTGGTTTAACCCACAACGCCACCTGTGTCCCCTGAAATCCATGGAGAATACCCACTGATTTCAAGGGGTCAATTCAAACAGTGGGTATAGCCCAATGATAGGGACCCTCTTGAAAAGAAATATGAAAAGGGCAATAATTGATATTACCCGACATCACAATTTGATAACTCTTGCCCAACTATTTCCAACACATTTATATATTATGTGGCTCATTTTACTCCCCACGTTCTTTTTGTAATCTCAAAGGGGTAATCACAAAACTTGCAATACTATATTGCGTGGTTCAGGGGCCTCTCCATCTGTGCCTCCATGTGTGCCATGGATGTTAGAGTCAAGCTATTTGGGGAGCGGGGAGGTGCAAGTAGTCAGCTCAGGCACCTGCAGTTCAGCTTAGATACAGGGCACAGAAAGGGATCTGTGTGAAGCAGAGATGGACTTGCAATTTCTAGAATTCTGCTTACCGTCATTGTCACTGCCGCCACTTCCTGAACTTCCACCTGGAAATAACAATAGGTATTTATTTAAAGCAATTGTAAATGTTTGAAGCACTTCATGTATTGTCTCATTGATGTTTATAATGTCAGGATCATTATCCCCATTTTACAGATAGGAGCCAGAAAGCTGAGGCTAGGAGAGGCAGAGACATGATTACCATACTTTGTACAATGAATTGAGCAATTTTTCAGAGCAGGTACATTTCCTAGTTGAGTCAGAGGAGGGGAGGGAATGGAAAGAGATGTAGTACAGTGCCATTCAGTCCAGTTAGTGTGCAGAGATGGGGAAAAGTTTTCCCTTCCAGCTAGAGACAGTGGCTCCTTGGGGCAAAAGTATCTGCCTTCATTCATAACCAAGAATAAGGTCAATTTTAAACATGTGAAGTTGCCTTTTATACTCAAGGTTATGCTTCTATTATGGTTCTTCAGGTGTGCTGAAAGAGAGTACAGTCATACCTCGGGTTACAGACGCTTCAGGTTGTGTTTTTTCGGGTTACGGACTGCCGAAACCCAGAAGTATCGGAACGGGTTACTTCCAGGGTTTGGCGCTTGTGCATGCGCAGAAGTGCTAAATCATGCATGCGCAGAAGTGCCGAATCGCAACCTGCGTGTGCGCAAACGCGACAATGCAGTTTGCGACTGTTGCGGGTTGCAAACGTGCATCCCGCATGGATTACGTTTGCAACCTGAGCGTCCAGTGTAACACAGTGTGGCAAAGCTTTCCCCAACCCTGTGCTTTGGACTACAACTCCCATCAGCACCAGCCACCAAAACAAATGGGCAAAGATGATGGGGGCTGGAGTCCAAAACATTGGGCAGAACACCAGGTTGGGGAATAGCTGAGATGCAGAATCCAGCCTTTGTTAAGAAAGACGCCAACATGTTTCCAGTGGTCATTGATGAAATGATACTCTCGAAAGCGTATTGCCAATGGCAGCCCATAGGATGGGTGAGTAAGGATTCTAGTGGCTATGGGTGGAGGACTCCTCCTGTGACTCGCAGAACCAGACTGATGATGCCAAACTGTACAATAAATTATTCAAAACAATTATTATGCAACAAAAGGCAGCACAGAATTCAGCTTTTCTTGGCCTGTTTCAACTATGCAGATAAAATGTTAGCCTATTTCTATTGGGTTGGGCCATTTCAGTTGGTCCAAGTATTATACACTCCCCCTGCCCTGGACAGAGTCTCTTCAAATCTGACCTTCTGGTTCAGAGGGACACCCCCCCCCGCCAAATAAATGGGACAAAACCTTCCAGGTGGCTTGCCTACCTCCAAAGCAGCACTAGGGACAGGGCGCATTGGCTGCAATCAATGTGCAGGTTAGCTGCCAACATAGCTCTGTCGGGGCTATTTCCAACAAATTGTTTCTACTTTCCAGGACTGCTTTTTGCAACAATATTCACAGAAAAAAAACACATGTGAAAAGCTGCACAGTAGGAAAGGTCTACAAACAGAATGCTGAGACCCCCACCAGGTGTTGTGCAGAGATTCCCCCCCCCCCCCCGCCATCCTCTAATGCACACATCGTTTTACAGCCCTGACGTCATGCCTGCCCCGAGTTTGCCTCCATGAAAATCATTCTGTCAAGAGATGGCTGATCTACATCTTGGAGTTGAAAGCAAGGACAAATTGGGGGTGGGGGGATCATGTCCTCCCTCTCACACCCCTCCTCCCAAAGCCAATTCTGAGAAGTGTGGGGGAGAATGTAGAAATCCTGGGGCAGCGTTAATTATCTTCTAAAATGTTGACGAAGGAACTTGTGTGAATAGGGCTCGACTGCTCTGCAACTGCAGCCTTGCGCATACACAGAGACACACACTGGTAGCCCTCATATTAATTAACCAGCTGCTGCTTCGGTAGCACTGCATTGAGCAATAAATGAGATTGATTATAAATTTAGCGCTGTGCGCAGTCAAGAGGTGGGTGGGGTTTGCAGAGACTGGAGGCTTTGTCTGCAAATTTCTGCACTCTGCAGCATAGGCAGCATTTTTCTTCCCTCTCTTTCTCTCTCCCACCCCTCCCTGCTCCACCCTACTTTGGAAAAAATGATGGGGTGGTCTGAAAAAAATGACTCCTTTGTAGGATACTGAGACTTGGGGGTGGAAGATCATCTGATGTGTCCAAAAACTGCTGGAATCCACATGGACCTTAACAGATAGCAGCAGTTTAATACTGCAAAAGGTGCTTTCCTTGGGTTGGTAAGTCTCATTTAATCCAGAATGCGGCAGCTAGACTGGTGACTGGGAGTGGCCGCCAGGACCACATAACACTAGTCCTGAGAGATCTGTATTGGCTCCCAGTACGTTTCCGAGCACAATTCAAAGTGTTGGTGCTGACCTCTAAATGGTCTCAGCCCAGTATATGTGAAGGAGCCCTAAATGGCCTCAGCCCAGTATACCTGAAGGAGTGTCTTCACCCCCATTGTTCAGCCTGGACACAGAGATCCGGTGCCGAGGGCCTTCTGGTGGTTCCCTCACTGTGAAAAGTGAAGTTACAGGGAACCAGGCAGAGGGCCTTCTTGGTGGTGGCACCCGCCCTGTGGAACGCCCTCCCAGCAGATGTCAAGGAAATAAGCCATCAGCCTACTTTTAAAAGACATCTGAAGGCGGCCCTGTTTAGGCAAGCTTTTAATATTTAATGCTGTATTGTTTTTAACACTTGATTGGGAGCTGCCCAGAGTGGCTGGGGAAACTCAGCCAGATGGGCAGGGTATAAATAAATTATTATTATTAGGCAAGGAGTTAAAGTGAATGCTTAAAGGTTCCTGTGATCCCAAGGTAGCCACCTCCTGAGGAGCCCCCCATGGGGCTCTGCTAGGGTCAGGTGATTCCGCTGCATCTCTGCATTGGGTATGAACCCATCGTTCCTAGAGAAGATAAGCTGAGAGCCCTGAGAAGAGGCTGTCACCTTTCATGGGTCATTGCTCTAGACTCATTCCTAGGCAGGAGGCATGCCCAGAGCACTAGCTCCTGCAGAAACAGGGCTGGGAAAGCATTTTAGGTGCATCCAACTGACATGCAATCGCCAACACTCGGCTCCTTTTGGACCTGGAAGAGGGCAGAACAGGAGCAGGGCATGACAGGGTGGGCTTATGCACCCTCCGCTGGCGTGCAGAGGGGCCAGGAATGGAACCCCCATGCAAAACAGTCACTGCTTGTATTCTAAACCAGGGAAGGAAAAACATCAGGCTTGGGTTATCTACTTCCTTCCTCACTAGAACAAGAAGATCCACTTGCCAGAGCAAGGTGCAAAATGATAGGCAGGGAATGGAATCATAGAATTGTAAAGTAGGAAGGGAACCTGGGGGTCATCTGGTCCAATCCCTTACAATGCAGGAATCTCAACTAGACCATACATTGCATATGGCCATCCAACCTCTGCTTAAAACCCTCCAAGGAAGGAGAGTCCAGCCCCTCTCATGCGAGTCTGTTCCACCACCAAACAGCTCTTAAACACAAGAAAGCTCTTCCTGATGTTTAGTCAGAATCTCCTTACTGGTAACTTGAATCTGTGCTATATATTTTTCCCATTTGTAATCAAGTTGGAGAAACTAACACACAGTGCACACAATAGCTCTGACTGCAACAAATCTTTGGGGAAACTGACTCACCAATTTGACGGATGCAGGAACAGATTGTGTTCCTACAGAATCATAACTAGGGGTTTACTATTGCTCCTCACATTGCTCCTCACATAGCCCTGGTTTCAATTTAGGGCACTGAAGGAACCCCAAGGGGTCCAGTAGTAAAACCATGAAGAGTTCTCCCCCCCTTTTGAAGTGGGTAAGCTCATAGTAATAATGTCATCTGCAAATGTTTGCAGGATAGAAAGCGACGACGCGATAAATCAGTATTAGATGGAAGCTTGTGGGGGGAAATATGTTTAATCAGTGGAGGCTGGTCCGTTGCGGCAAGCAGGATGCTGCCCCACCAACTCCAGTCTGCCCTTGGCCAGCCCACACCAACTGGAGCAGCTGCAATTCAGTGGCTGGGTACTTGCATGTAAAAGGACCCAGTTTCAATCCCTGGAAAATCTAAGTAGGACTGGGAATGCCTCCTGTCTGAAACCCCTAAGAGCCACTGTCAGTCAGAGCAGACAGTACTGAGCTATGGAATACTGGTGTGAACTCAGGGAGTTTCCTCAGGGAACTAAGGGAGCTTCCTGTGTTTCTGCCTGCCTTATTACTTGCAACCACTGCCTGTCAGCTTCCCCCTCCTCTTGCAGAACTCTGCAAAGTAGATGGTGGCAAAACTAGCCAAATTCGTTGGCTTCCATTCCCTTTATTGTTTGGGCTTCCTGCCTTCCAACCTACCAGCTCTAATGGGCACCAGCCACCACTGTGTTAAAGACGCAACACAAGTGACTATCCACACTAGCCCATTACCCCTTTGTCCAAATGCTATCCTCATTCACGCCACTAGGACATACTATATAACTTTCACACATGCAACTGCTGACCAACGTTTCAATTACGCCGCAAACCCACTTCTCTGCTGAATCCCTTTCCTACTAGTTCCAGATGTCCGCATCTGCTCTCATGCTTTGGAATGGCCTGTGCCTCTGAAACGTTGGAATGCTTGTAAACTCTCCATAACCCCTTTGGCAGCAGAGTCTACAGCTGGAGAGAAATGGCTTCAATCAGCTGAAGCCAGAGTTCATACAGCCAATTGCTGTGGAGGTTTCAAATGCTGCAGCCTGTGGCTGCCTCACTTCTTTTTCTTTTAAAATGCTAAATATATCTGAATTAGGAGAGCAGGAAATGGGTAAGAGCAATCAAAGAAACCCATCACTGTTTTTTTCTGAAAATTCAAATGACTGGCCACCTATCAAGGAAGCTGTAGAAGTCATTTCCTGCCCACTGTTTCAGTCGGATACCTAATCTCTAAACAGGGAAGGGGTGTGGCTATGCATATACAAAGCCCCCTCATTCAATGCTTGTCGTTCTCATAGCAAGATGAAAGGCTCCTGTCCATAGTCTGCAAAGCCATTGCCAGACTGTAAACAGCATTGAGCAAGGTGGACCCAGTGGTCTCAGCTTCCTATACCAGATGGGGGACCTGTGGTCCTGGATATGTTGCTGGACTATGATTCCCACCAGCACTAGCCAGCAATGTATCATGGACTGGTTGGACGCACAGGAATGGTGGGAGAACCAGCTAGGGGACCCCCAAGGGAAGAAGGCTCAGAGCCTGGAGATTGGTGGTGGGACAATGATGAGCAGTCACAAGAAGAGAGAGACGACTGGCAAGAGGTGGGGTCAGATGCTGAAAAAGTAACAGGGCTCAATAAGATGGGACAGTCGGTGGCAGAGAATCTGAGGCAGAAGCTGAAGCAGGGGAGGAGGCCAAGAGAGAGAGATGAGTGTGCCTGGTGAAGTGTCATGGGTGTCTCCCCCTCCTGCTGCAACAAGCTCTCCTCCCACCTGGTCTCCCAGAACCAGAAGGGGCATGAAACAGGAGAAGCAAAAGCAGACATGAAAGGACAGTCTCAGATTCCTTGGAAAAAACCCTGGGGAGAAGGGGACTTTGCAGCTGTGGGGACAGGGAGAACTTCAGTGTTAGCAACTGCTTCTTGGGGGCAAGCTCTGCGCTCATTCGGCCTGACACTCTGCCAAGTTGGTGCATAAAAAGGCAGAGGTAAAGGACCGCTGACAGTTAAATCCTGTCGCAGACGACTCTGGGGTTGCGGCGCTCATCTCGCTTTGTTGGCCGAGGGAGCCGGTGTACAGCTTCCGGGTCATGTGGCCAGCATGACTAAGCTGCTTCTGGCGAACCAGAGCAGCACACGGAAACGCCGATTACCTTCCCGCCGGAGCGGTACCTATTTATCTACTTGCACTTTGACATGCTTTTGAACTGCTAGGTTGGCAGGAGCAGGAACTGAGCAACGGGAGCTCACCCTGTCAGGGGGATTTGAACCGCCGACCTTCCGATCGGCAAGCCCTAGGCTCAGTGGTTTAGACCACAGCGCCACCCGTGTCATGAGTTAAGTCCAACTAGCAGGGTATGATTTACTTATGGCTCGCTTTTGACACAAGCACAGTTGTCGGGGATCATGGGAGTTTTAGTCTGGAGTGCCACAGATTTCCCCATCCCTGCTCTACAGGCATTAACTTTGCAATTGGACTGCCAATATAAAAATGTACTTCGTGTCCCTTTTTGTTGGTGTCCCCTTTCTTAGCTAAGCAACAAAAAGAGAACTTACCTTTCTTTTTATCTGGCTGGTAGCCGCCCTCGTCCACAATTCCAGCCAAGTCATCATCCGAAAACCCTGAAAGGTTGGAAGGGGATGGAATTGCTTGCATTAGCCCATGAAATAGTTTTTAGGTTCAAAAAGATATTCGTTTCCTATTTGTTAAAAGGAAGATGGCTTTAAGTGCCGCATTCAGGAGGAAGAGAAGCATTTCTTAGTTGGACTGGTGCTGGTTAGGTACCGACTGGGAAACAAGGACTTAAGATGTGAGAAGAAGCAAAACAACAACAAGGGCAACTCCGAGTCAATGCCCCATCCCTCGCTTGCCGTTGGCTGAGCATACTCAAATACTCAAATGATTTCTAGACTACTCTAACTTGCCCTATGTGAGGCTGCCCTTGAAGAAGGGTAGCAAAGAGCACTCTGGAATCCCATACTCTGTGGCAAGATATTTTCTGCCATCATTTTAGTGCACACGACACAGATATGCCAGCTTGATACTGGTGCAACTCCCATTATTCTGTCTGTCTTGTGGTCTTGCTGGATTATTTATTTGGTTGTTGCTTTTGGTGTGTGTTTTCCTGTGACGGAACTGTTCGGGTTTTTATACAGACTGTTGCTTTAGTATTTTAGTATGCATTTCTGTGCGCTGCTCTTGGGACCAGTGCAGTCAAAAGATGTGGCAAAACTAAAAACAATTGTTTAAAATAACATCTACAGGTGTTACAGTGTCCCTACAGTAGAGTGGGGGGGTGGACCTGCAGACCGCCAGGTGCTGTTGGACTCAAACTCCGATCACCCCCCAGCCAGTATGACCAATCAGGGATGATAGGAGTTGCAGTCCAACCAACATCTGTAGGTCCACGTTCCCCCCACCTGCCCTATTGGAATTAAAGGCAGGAAGAATCCTTCTACAATTGTGTTATGGGGAACAGCATGACTATTCGTACCAAACATTTCAAATGGAAAACTCTCTGTGTGTTTTAGCAATCTGCTGAGGTTTTCTAAATTCATAAAACTGAATTAAGTGTGCAGGGTGAACTAATGGATGTCCTCCTGCAAGACATGATGATACTGGGACCTTTAGGAGGACTGGTTAGGGTGGGCAGGTGAAGAAGAGAGGGCCCCTCTACCTCTAATGCAGTGTTTCTCAAACTTGGGTCTCCAGCTGTTGTTAGACCACAACTCCCACCATCCTTAGCTAGCAGGATCAGTGGTCAGGGGTGATGGAATTTGTAGTCTGACAACAGCTGGAGACCCAAGTCTGAGAAACACTGTGCCTAATAGGTGCGTTGTGTAGGTGGGGAATTTCAGAAGGTGTAGCTTCTGAATAGATGTGTAGAAATACACCTCCATTAAAGGGCAGTAGCCCTGTCCTCTTCTTCACCTGTCGTGGTGAGCTTCAGCTGCTGAAATCCCCGCTTAGCGCAACGATAAAAGTCCTGCTCTCTCTTTTTTCACTTGGCAACCTGAATGTACCATTTCAGGCTACAGGTGAGGGGGGATACACATTCTGAACACATGCACACACGATATAAACTCGCTGCAAATGAAAACAGAACACTAGGACAATAGGGTAGATTTCTAGCCTTCTTCGTTTCATCTGCGCTAGTTTTCTATTCTCAGGGGGTTGGTTTTTTCCTGTATGTGTGTTTTCACAAAAGGGAGATTCAAAACTTCTGATTCGCCTCCCAATACCTGGAGCATTTTATCACTTCAGAACCCTGTGCACCTTTCAGGGCATGTACTCAAACAAGGTGGCTCACAATACAAAACAATAATAAAAATAAATTTTAAAAATCTGAACAACTATTTAAAACAAGACAAAGTGATGGCAGATATCAATGTAGGTCAATATATCATTAAAAGTCAGCTGGGGGTGGGAATCAAAATGATTTCTACAGCTGTGTGTATAGTCCAGGTCTTTCTCCTCCTATGCAACCAGCTAAACCCAAAGTCAAACATTTCGGCGTTAATGTTGCGCAAAAAAATTTCCAGTAGCTAAGAAGGAAACAAATACACACCATGCTTTGGCAATGGCCAGCTGGGATAACAACAGCTCTGATCAGCCACATGCAAGATGATTCATTTTAATTGATTTTATCCGCTGTATGCTTTTATAAGTCTTATGTACGCCACTTAGAAACCTCAGAAATGAAGTGGTATAGAAAAAACTCACAAAAACTTAAGACACAGATCAATTTGTTATTGCTTGCTTAGAATTCAAGACCAAGCACATCATGTACAAATTTCCAAACTCTCCCACGTGATACTGTGGGTAGAAGCAAGCAAGCAAGGAACCCACAACGCTGGATAGCAGTGGAGAGGAGAAGGGAGCAAGCAGAGGAGAAAGCTGGGAAAGAAAAAGGAGAACTGGAAAAGCTAGATGGCAAATCCTTCTCCCAGGCCCCACTGGTTGGAGAATATAAAGACAGGCCCTTATCACAGGGGTGGATAACCTTTTCTGGCCAGCAAACTAGATCTAAATTTCCCCAGACTCTGGCAGGCCAAATTTTGCAGGTGCGTGGGGTCACCCATACGTCAATCACCTGACATCATGCTGCGCTTTGAAGCTCCAATTGTTAGGACTTCAAAACACAGCTCAGGGGTGTTTGTAAGCCCTTTGTAAGCATCTCCAGCCTTCTCCTTAAACCGCTGAAATTTGGAGATTTGAAGAACAGCCCTTTTCCTATCAGTCCTATCCTGCTGTGAGGTATTTTCGTTCAGTGGGAACTGCTCCACCCTCCTTGATTAAGCTGTGCTCTCACTGCGCATCAGCTGATGGGTGGTTGGGAGTCTGCCTTGTTCAAGCAGAGGAACAATTCAAAGTCAACCTGAATTCCTGTTTGTTCCTTTCACACCTCACCTTTACCCACCATAATGTCAGGTGTAGGGCATGGCTTTCTAAAAATGGCCTGGCAGGCCAAATGGAGAGGCATCATAGGTCACATTTGGCCCACAAGCAAAAGGTTCCCTGTCCCTGTCTTAAAATGATGCTGACAGTCAGGTCAATAGTGCAACTGGCCCACAACAACCCTGACGGGAAGCACCTCTCTCAGCTTAAAAAAAAAGAAAAAGAGGAAGTGCTGCTTTAGGTAACAGGAAAACAAATAAAAGTGTTCCCTGGACACTCCTCCCCGTGTGCTCTCTCCACATAAATACAGGAAGGAACTGGCTCTGAACCGGGGTGAGGGATCTTCTGCCCTGCGTCAGACCCAGCCGGCACGGCCAATGGCCAAGGTAGTCCAGAAACAACTGGAGGGTCACAGGTTCCTCATCCCTCCTTGAAGCTTTCCAGCAGTGTGATATTAGGCCACACCTTCCCTTAAACTGTGGTTATGTCTTTTTCCATCTGTTTCATTCCTTCCCACTAGTGGGCAGAAGATACAAACCACAATTCTTGCCTTAAGGTTAAATCCAAACCAGGGACAACAGTTGGGTTTTGCTCCCTGGAAGACACAATCTGTAGTAACTGAAGGTGGGTTGCTGGAGCAAAACAGACCATTGTGCCTGGCTCAGATGCACACCTAAGCTAGGGATCATGGCTTATTTCCTCTGCTTACTTGTGGGGTGGAGTGAAAGTTCCCTCCAGGAACCATGATGGTAAACTATTAGCTACAGCTTGCTGTGATGTACAAAATGGATCACTATCCGGTTTTCGATTTCGTAATGGCAGCCTTTCTTAGAGTGTTTCATTTTTGGAAAAAAGTAACGCAGGGAACAGCAAACGGCCATCTCACAAGATCTGAAGTTGACCAAGTCAATAATAAATGTGAAAATTAGAGAATGCTAATTGAAAGGGAAAATTAGTAGAGGCGTTCAGCATTTAAAATCCCCCCTCGCCCCCAGTGCATTGCACAGATAAGTAACAGGATGGATTTTCCGTGCTTAGAAGGAGTGGACGGCAGAAAACAAAGGATTGTGACAGGAAGGGGAAAGGTAGCAACTGGGAGCCCATCCAAGACTCCTTACCAGGTTTTCCACCTCTTCCACCTGTACCTTTCGAGCCTGGAACAGGATTCTTTATTCATTAACTGATCACAGAAAATAGCAGCTGTTGATTTAGGTTTTGCAACACGATGAAAGCAAATTACGCATGTTTTAGGAAAAAAAGAGTGCAAGTTGGTATCAATAACATGAACATTCTGCCAACACATCTGTTTATTTCTCTAGTGTTACCTATATGGATAGGGTGGAGGGAGACAAACAAGGGAGACATGAATGATCCATAAGGAAATTTATCTGGTCAAACAGGTCATATGAAGGGGAGAGGAGGTTTAAAGCTGAGGGCCATGTGTTTCTCACAGCAAAGCATCAACGTGACCACTTCTTCTATATGCAATGTTCAGGGTGCAAATGCCACCACTTACGTTGCACAACATAAGCCGTGCACAAGTGAGAGTCCTCAGCACATTTGGGGGAGCCCTACCACCTGCAAAAGTCCAGAAAACCTTTAGGAAAAACCCTGTGGAGGGGAGGGAACCCCAAATTAGCCCCACATTAGGACTAAGCATGCTCTAAGGCCACAGAATGTTGACTGCTGGGATGGGGCAGGGAACAAGGAATGGAATGCAACCCTGAACAGCAACACCCCACGCTGCAAGATTTTATTACAGGTCCTCTGTTTAAATTACTATTGTTCATCCACTCTACTATGCCTGTGCTGTTGATTCATGCAGCGAATCCCATGAACCAATAAGCACAGCCCTAAAGCCAGAGGTGAAGTCACAGTGACCTACCTTTTGGCAAAAATGTGTGTTTGTGTCCCTTTCCCTTTGCTATTTTAAGGGCTTTCTTTGTGCAGTGGGGAAGTACAACAACCCCTTCCTATGGCAGACTCAAGCGTGACTTGAACATGTCATCCAGACTTCCTGTATGCCTTTTGAGCTGTCAAGCTTTGGCCATGAGAAGGTATCCTGTTTTGTTTGCCACCCCAAGACTTTGGCTACATCAGAGGTTTGGTTCACTGTAACATCAACATGAGAAAATAGTCCTTCCTATACGCCCCACAGATGGCTCAAAATGTGAGCACAGCAGCCTTAAAGGAAGTGGATTCTTCCAACCCAGTTTTGGCTGACAAGGGGAATCTCCTTCACTCAGCAGGACCTCTGTATCAACTCACCCAATCTACGTGCTAAGATTTCTGGGCTTGAAATAAGTGGGGCCTCGTCCACCAGCTTCTCTGGGCCCAAATGCCATGGGTCACCTCTCCTGCTTTAAGCTGGGCCCATCCACAACCACTGCACCTGGCTGCATCAGAGGGAAAGGTGGCACACAGATGCTCACCCAAGTCAACTCGCGCATACTACGTAGGTTGGCTAGGCTTGACTTGTGAACAGCACCTCACTTGGCCTCCTGGAGAATCATCTCCATGTGACCAGGGAGGGAAACTGTACAAAATGTTTGTTTTTTAACATTGGGAAAGTGGAAGGAGAAGATATATGTTGCTAACATTGATACATTCAGCAATCGGCCTGGCCTGGCAGACATTTTTTTGTGGCTGACGGGGTTTGCACTATGGGAACCTATGGGAACTTAGGGGCCAACTCAAGACCTTCCTCCACAAGACTCCACTGGCATGTGGCTCCCGGGGCTGTAAAGGGTTCCCAATTCCTATTATAATGCCACTCGCGAGCCATGTGGTCTTTTCCAAGCCACCCAGTTGCATAGTATCTGGGGTCAAAGTTTGATGCATATTAAGCACCATTGAGGTTGGGCTGCCCAACCATTGTGAGAAAAATGCTGGCCAAATCATCTAAAATTTAGAAGTAAAGCACAAAGCTAATACTGATCTGTCAACGTACCTCCACCAGGATTTACATTAGGCGTTCCTCCACCTTGTCCAGGGTTGTGGTCATCCAAAGCATCAGATAAGTCGAAATCCATTGGATCTTTGGCTGTGAAATAGCACATGAATTACCTATTGAATGCATCTGTCGCTCTATAAAGCAGTGGTTACCAATTAAGGAACCTCTAGGGGTCCACAGAATGCACCCAGGGGGTCTGTGGCCCCACCCCTGCCCTCCCCCACAACTAAATTTTTGTCATTTTTGCATGGTAGTTTCACAGATTTTATGGCCTTTTTTTTAGTATACCAAAATCATCTGCTTATTAGGGGCTACCCCACATTTTGTTCAAAAAATTGCTTCGCAGAGGTAAATAAGAGTTACCAAATTCTTCAAAAGTAGGGGAGTCCGTGGCTTGGCTTTTGAAAAACAGGGGGTCCTCAGTAATTATCTAATTGGGAACCACTGCTCCAAAGCATATAATAATCTAATACAAATTCAAACTGGTAAAGACAGTATGTGCTTTTTCCTGCAGCTTGATCCACTGTGCAGGGCAACCTCTGTGCAAAGTGCATAACAGGACATAACTGAATTACTGAGTAGTTGAAATTGCAGGGAAATATGAAGAGGTCTTTGAATGAATGAATGAATGAATGAATGAATGAATGAATGAATAGGTCTATTTATACTTTTCCTCCCTCTAGGTTGGCTTTTGAAAACAAAACAAAGTAACAGAACCTTCCCAGTTTGAATTTGTATTAGATTATTATATGCTTTAGAGCTTTTAAGACATCCCCAAAAATAAGACCTACCTCCAGTTTTGCCTCACACTGTAATATAAGGCATCCACCGAAAATAAGACCTCCCCGAACATAAGGCCTCCCTGGAATATAAGGTCCCCGAAGCTACCGTAAAGCATCTGACTCCTCTGGACCGTAGTGGTGGGCACCGCCGCTGTGCAGCTCACTGATTGGCTGCAGTGCAGCCGGAGCTGTTCAGGCAGTGCGAGGTCCCTTTAAATCAGAGAGCCCACGCCACCACCAGGACAAGCTGCCGCCTGCTGCTCGCTCTGCCCTGACGGAGTCTGGCTGACTCACAATTAGACAATAAATGTGTACTGTATTCTTCTTATGGACAAATCCCCTGAAAATAAGGCCTAGTGCATCTTTGGGAGCAAAAATTAATATGACACTGTCTTATTTTCAGGGAAACAGGGTATATTGCAAGACGCACCCTGCACTTAACAGCGTTGTCTGCACCATCATCCTCCCACTTGAGGCCAAAGCAGTAAGGATGGGAGCAGGAGAAACATTGGGACAACCTTGTCCCTGGATGTACTCTATCATGTCGGCCAAGGCTTATGCAAAGCTGGTGGGCATAGGGATGTCCATGGTTGCCCTGTTTGTGGAATGGTATTCCAGAATAGGCCCTGGAGCATCACACACTTGATTCACTTCCTAGGGAAAATAACACTATCCAGGAAGGAAAAGTGTAATAAGTCCCTTGACACATTCCTGGCATGAGACATGGGTGTCTTGTGCGCTCTGTAGAGGTTGTTACTTACCTGGGACCTTCTTGGGTGGAGCCTTGGTAGTTTTGGGCTGCTTGGTGGTGGTATGCATCACGTTCCAGTGGATATCATCTGAAGACAGAGGAACACAAGGGAAGGTGACTCAGAAAGTGGTGGCGGTTGGGTAAAGAATGAAAAGATTGGCAGGAGCAATTTAAGCCACAAGAGGAGCCTCTTCCAGGGGAGCTGCTCTCTTCTCACTGCCCACCCACCCTAAGTACAGCCAGGGGACTGTATAAACAAAACATTATTGGGGGCGGGGTTAAGATTTTAAGAGGTGAATTTTCTCTTGAACTATATATACCCATTGTATGGAAATTGACAACAGGACAGCAGAAATGGATTCTACACACCCTAATGGTGGCCAAGAGACTGATAACTGATGAACTGGAAGAATAGAGATACGATTCCCCTTAATCAATGACTCGACAACATGACAGTGGCAACCTATGAATGGGCAGCTTATAGCTGCAAACTCTCTTTGGATAAATACAATGATATTTGGAATGCATTTACACAGAATATATTAGGTTACTAACAATTATATGTGTATCAGGATATTAAGAATATACACATCTGTATATTAATGTATGGCAATTTAGCAGTTTTTGCTTTTTTCATTCTCACTCACTCCCCCCCCCTTTCTTTCCTCACTCTACTTTTTCATAAATGAAATTCTCTTAATAAAATATTATTGTTATTAATATAGTACAGCCAAGGGGGGGCAGAGCCAATAGGGGACACAACAACTAGGGTGGAGTTAGGAGATACAACCCAACTCTCCCCTCCCATCCCCACAAGCAATATTGGACAAAACACCCACATACAACTCTTTCCATGAGCAAAAAACAACAGCACTAGGAGCCTGTTGTGTCCATATGTGCTGGGTCATAGTACAGATCAGTGGTGAGGAACATTTTCTGGCTGCAGGGCCAGATCCTTATCTCCTGGATCCCTAGCAGGAAAAATCTGGCAGGTGGGCAAGGCCATCTACTACCTATCAGTCACCTGACATCACTGTAATGTCAGGTGACACTGCATTCCTGAGTTGTTGGAACTTCAAAGAGTAGCATGGGTCGGCTTGAAAGCTCTTCTGCAAAACAGCCTTGTGCACAGAACAAGAGACTCAAAAGACCAGCATGGGGCTGTTTGCAAAAAGGGCATTTAAACAGCTCTGTGCTGCTGTTGCTCCAGGGGAAGGGGGGGGGCTCTTTTTTAGCAGATATTTCGGTGGAAACCGCTTTGCAGTCCTGGAACAAAGTGTGGGCCAGCAAAGGAACAATAACTTCAACCTCCTAATTGTTCCTTTGAAGTCGTGACACATATGACATCAGGTGCCGGACACGTGGGCATGGTTTGGGGGCGGGGAGGGAAACAGCCTTATGTGAGGAATGGGGACCCCCTAGAAGGGCAGAGAGGTTCCCCACCCCTGGTACAAACAACGCCCCCCAAGAAGTAAAAGGAGTGACGGGAGAAGGGAGAAGCAAAAGCAGAGATGGAAACGGAGGAGAGAAACCAAAATGGAGCAACAGGAAGAACTTGCGGCTCTCAATCCTGTGAAGGTTGACAGGGGGTGGCTCAGGCCTTTAGGAAACTTTGCTATAAAACAGGGATGGGGAACCTGTGGGCCTCCCCTGCCCCATGTGCTGCTGGACTACAGCTCCCATCATCCTTTGCCATTCGCCATGCTGGCTAAAGCTGGTGGAAGTTGGAGCCCAACAATGATCTGGAGGTTCCTTCCCTTCTGCTATAATAAAGCCTAGCAGGGAAAGGAAGGACTCACCTGGTTTCCTTGGATAAGGGCCAGTGGTCACCTTGGTTGATTTAGTTGTCATCTCTGGTGGGGTGTCGAAGTAGTCAGCCAAGTCCAAGTCACCTATTTGGCAGATAAATACAGAAGCACACACAGAGAGACAAATAAACCACAGGTGGTTGTTTTTTGTGCACCGTGTGTATCTTCTCTTCTTCTCCAAGGAGTTCCTGGCTTATCCCATTTTACCCTCACAACAACCCTTTAAAGCAGGCCAGGATGGCATAATGAAAGAGGGACTCCCTAAGGCAGCACAGAGAGATTCCGGCAGCGACAGCATTCCACTAAAATACAGACACTCCTGCGACTGGTGTGCCTGGTACAGTGTTTTCGTTACTGGTGTGGCTGTAAAGGTTGGAGTCAGCTGCAAGTCAGCAAGAAAGACACAGGGCTCCGTTGTCAGCGAAGTTAACTCTTTATTCAAGGAAATGGCATACTGCTCAGCAACTCTTCCCAGTAGGTATTGCCGCTATGGAGCAGTTGCCAGGTCTGAAGGTCCCTGCCTTCCCACCTTTCTCCCAGGTATTTCCCAAACAGTCTCAAACTGTGCTTGCACATCTCTGACCTCTGTTCTGCCCTAATTATTCTGTGCATTCTTGGAGACTAAAGGGGAGGAAACTTGTTGCAGCAGGAGAGGGAGACTCCCTTGATTCTTCAGCTGCCCCCTGACTCCTCTCTTCTGTTTCAGCCTCAGAGTCTGAACTGTTCCCTGCCACCAGCTCTTCCTGCTCACTAAACCCTGTTGCCCCTTCAGCATCCAGGCCCTCCTCCCAATCTTCTCCCTCTGATTGTCCCACCACCAATCCGTAGCCTTTGAGCCTTCTTCCTCTGGGATTTCCCTTGGGGGCTCCTCAGCTGTTGCCTCCCACAACTCCTTGTTGCCCAGCCAGTCCCTGGCAGTGGCCCACCTAAGGAGTCAAGTTTGTTGAACTCAGATCCATTAACTCAGATTCACTGCAACATTTCACACACATGACATTGGGGGAGGCAGAGCTGCATGCATGTGCTTCCTCCATTGCCACATCCCCCCACAGGTGAGAGAGGTGGAATGGGCAAGGACCAAGCCATGTGGCAATTTTGGTGGTAGCAGGAGCCTTGGGACTTCTTTGCCCAGTTGGTTCTCTGCATTGCTTCTGCATCCTGCCCCTACAACCCAACCAGAGGCCCCTACCACTCCATTAACCAGCATCAGCCACAAGAAGAAACAGAAAGCGTTTGCAGGGTCTGTCAGACCCCACAACCTGCAATCAATAGTTGCCATTCCTACCCAGAAACACTTAGTTGCCTCTAAATCAAATAGCAATTTCTCCTGGGTTTGGTCCCTTCTGGGTTTGCTCATGATCTGTTTGCACAAAGTCTGTATGGAGTCTAGACGTTTTCAGCTATTTATCGCGCACACATTTTGATTTGTTTGCAGAGAGGTTAGACAATGACTTATCAAGCAAATGTGATTCCAATGCATTTCCCCATCACTTTCCTTACTGCAGAAAGTCCATTTCTTTTCTATGGAGCAAAGCAGGTTAGTTGTGCCAACAGCTTCAAATCATCTTTGATTGCAGAACTTGAATTTGCCGCTATGTGATTAAATCCCACCTGCAAACAGCAACTTGCCCCTGATTCACTCCACTCTTTTGCTATAAATAAGAGATGGCAAAACATCTCACCTGTTCCGCTGGAAGGCTTCTTGGGTGGCTTGGGAGTAGCTGTAGTTAAGACAAAAAGAGGGAAGGAAGGACATTTCAACTGGATGAAGAATTAAAAGTTCACTGAATCTCACAGCACAAGCACATGTGTACTCAAAAACAAGTCCCATTGAGTTCAATACCCACTGAGTTTATTATTAAGCTGTAAATAACTGTAGGAGGTGCCTGCATCTGTGAAAACATCAATATATAATGCAGGTTGCTCTCCCCACCCAATTCTCTCCAGCACAAGGGTGACTTACGCCGTTTCGTTGGAATGCCATCATCCAGCGCATCCTCTAAATTTAAGTCGAAATCATCAGCATATCCTAGAGACAAAGAAATAGCACAGGTAAGTTATTTGCTGCATTTATATCCCACCTTTCCTTTAATGAGCTCCAGGAGCTATACTAGTTCTCCCCATCCGAACTGCATCCTCACAACAACCCTGTGAGATAGGCAGGCAGGCAGAGAGACAGCAGCTGTTCAGGGAAGTTTTAATGTTTGATGTCGTGTTATGTTTTAATTTGTTGGAAGCTGCCCAGAGCGGCTGGAGGAAGCCAGTCAGATGGGGGATTATAAACACATGCATACATGCACACATAACCAGTAAGCTTCGTGGCTGAGTAGGTCCTACTCTGACACTCTAACCTAGTGGTCCTCAGAAAATTTTATCTGGACCACACTTTCAGAATAAAAATTTGCTCGATTCTTTTTTATTGGGAATAAATTCATTGGAAAACAAAAAGAAACCACTCCTAGCAGTGCTTGATTTATAACATACAATGCAACTACTTTAGTATGTGATCGTGGGGCATCCAGAATGTATAAAACAATGCAGTTATGTAAGAACGTGAATCATTCCCAAAATATAATCATGAACGAGCCTCTTACATATGTACCTTAAGTAGGTATACAGACTCAATGAGAGCTGTGAGCTTTCTTTTGCTGGGTAATCTCATTTATATAAGGTCTATTTTGAGACAGAACAAGCTTTCATCTTCTCATCAGCACAAAGAAGCCTTACTCTTTTCTGGTCTTTCATATTTGTCAAGAGTTGAGTATCACTGTCCACCGCAATATGTAGAACTGAATAGCCAATGCTCTTGAAGAGAGGCGTGAATACCATTTCTGATTGTATAGACATTCAACACAGAAATGTTTAAATGTTTATTTGATTGCCCTTGAATCTTCCCACCAGGCTTGCCACACCCTTGGAGAACCACTGCTCTAACCACCAGATGACCAGTCTCTAATCCCCAATACAGGGAGGTCATCAATTGAAAACAGAAGGTGGCAAGGCAGCATTTAGCCAGATTGCTTCAGCTTGTGACACGTTTTCAAATCTGTCCCTTCCCATTGGGTTCAAGCACTTTCCCAGAATCTCATTGCTGTGAAATTGCAGGGCAAGTCAGAGTTTAAGTTCTCTGTTTGTCTCTCTTTGTCTGTAAATGCATGGGCTTCACTCATGTTTGTCAAGGCAGAGCCTACTGATTCTTCCATCTCTCAATATGCCACTCATCTGTGGATGTTCTCCTGGTTATTATACGTTTGGAGGGAAAACACTGTAAAAATATTGGCACATCATCTGACAAAACAGAGGAGGGGGGGGGAGAGAGAAAGAGAAAGAACACCTAGCCGATACTGCATCTTTTAGCAAAACGCATTCCAAGATGAAAGATAATAATTCTATATTTGCACTGAAAGGGGTGGAAGGGAGGGCAAAATTGAGATAAGGATATTATGGCAGATCTCTGAGTGATTTACGGTAAATAAGGATTTCTGACTCTGGACTGTTTAACAATAGACACACACACACACACACACACACACACCTATTTCCCCAAACTAGACTGCTGAAATGAAGAAAGCGGTTGTGGGGAGAGACCAAGGACCCCTCAAGACGGGTGCTTTATTACAGGTGTATTCTGCAATGTATTCTTGATACCACAATCGTACGCTGGAGGTGAATTTACTCTGCTTCATTCGTTGTTCTGTGATGCTTCCCCAATACTACCAGTATTATTGCTGTCTGGGGGGCCTGGAGCAGAACAGAAGCAGGACAAATACTATTTCTCCCACCCCGAGGACCATATTCCCTTGTGAACAAGCTTCCTGGGACCAACAGTGGGTGTGGCCAGAGGCAAAAAGTGCCTCTTTTGTAAAGCAAGGCACATCTCTCCCAAGTCAAAGGCATGTCTGCAGCCTCCATCTGGCCAGTGAAGAAACACTATCAGAGTTCAAGGACACAATTCAGTCAGGCAAAAGGACTTGGTGAGGCTGCGGACCAGAGCAAATTAGGGTTGGGGTCTGCAGAGGAGGCGTGGCCTGAGGAGAGTCCCAAGGGGCCGCATTTGAGCCCCAGGTCTGAGTTCTCCCTCTATTGATGGTTGCAACCTTTAATCCTTCATCTTGGGAGCCTTTTATTATTGTTACTTTTACTCCCCCATTACCGACTGTTGGCTTATCCGCTCTTGATGCGTTTTTGCCTTCATACATTCTGGATTTTACGTCTCTCGGCACATGCGAAGTTAACGCAAATGGCGTTAACGTTCAAATGGCTTCCCTTGGATTCCAGCTGCTAAATGGATTTAGCTGCTGCCACCTGAGCTCTGACATCTTCCATGAATAAATTTAAGGCTCGAGTGACAAGGCCAGCAACAATGGGGGAAGGCACCGGGGCTGGCAGGAAGCAAATGTCAGCATTTCAACCGAGGGGGAGGGGAGAGAGCAGGGGCAAAGGGGAGGGGTGCAAAAATGTCCAACTCCTATGTGGTTGGGATTTAGCCTACTAGGTCCAGTCGCAACAGTAAGGCTCACATTCCTTGCTCCGCCCACCTTTGCTTTGGTCCCACCCACTGATGTGGCATTCGGTCTCCTGGAATGGCACCCCTCCCCCAAGGAATGTAGCTCCTGGGCTGAAAAAGCTTCCCCACCCCTGGAGAACAGGATTGTAGCCATAAGGTGCAATCCCTACCACAACAACCACCAATTCTATCTCCGTGGTCACTCTGTCTGGTAGACTGGGCTACGACGTAGTTACTGGCCAACAACACCGGCTATTCATGGCTGAGTGGGGAATCTGACCCTACTTATCTATTAATTAAATTTGTATACTGCCCTTGCATTGCAACTCTATTGATTTCAGGGCAGTTCGCAGCATAATAAAAACAAAGCCGAAAATGAAACCTAAGTATCTCAAGTCCCACTTTTCTACTCCACCCAGGCTGGCTTTACCTTTCCTTATGAGACGTTCTGTGTAAGGTATGGAGGGTGGGAATCCCCTCCCACATTGCAAAAAAGAGCCCTATGCTACTGAGGGAATACATTTGGGGGAAAGGCTGTAGCTCAGCAGCAGAGCATCTGCCTTGCATGCAGAAAGTCCCAGGTTCAACCCTGCCAGCCAGAGTACGCAGTACTGAGCTAGATGGTCTCACTTGTTATAAGGGAGATTCCTGTGTTCCTCCCTGCCTTTGGACTAGCAACCAAGTCCAGTGGGTGGCAGTGCCTGTTGGCTTCCTCCTCCTCAATCTCAACAGTGACACTGGGGAACTCTGAGGAGGACAAGCCATGCTGGCTTTCTGAGAAAACAGGACACAAGAGTTATAAAAGAATGCTAATGTGCAGCAGAAGCAGTCAGTGGGGCAGGGCAGAGCTGATCTCCCAACAGCAGCATCGCTGCAGCTTACCTGAATCCACCAATGTGCCCCCCATGGTCCCACCCTCGCCACCGCCCTGCCCCACCTCACCCTTGTCTGAGTAAGTTGCATCAATGCTGGTGTCAAGAGGACAGATCTGACGCTTTGCCGTACCAAAGCAGCTGCTATGGTTTAGGAGCCAACTACAAAAACAGAGCAACTTTGGCCTGGTGAAGATGCAAAATGAACGTCTGTACACAGACACACCACCACAATGCTTCTTCTAATCCTAGGATCAATAGAAACAATTTAAACCTTGCTGAAGGGAAAGGCCCAGGGGCAACCCAAAGTTTACATTTGTATGCAAGAAAAGGTTTTCTCTCCTCACCCGCCCCTTTTTCTTTTCCCTTTCCTGTCTCTCCCTGATTAAATAAATGCTAAGAACACCAATTCATTATACTCCAAGGTGATGCAATTAACATGTTTGTTTTTAACACAGAAGAATGCAACTCTTGCAAGGAGTCAATGGGTCCAGAGATAAAAGTTGCTGGAACATCAAATGTAATTATTATCTCTCTACAGCAGCTTCTGCTCACTCAGCCCTCTCCATCCTCCATCCGCACATACCTGGGGTAGCTCAGTCGGTACAGCATGGGACTCTGAACCCTAGGGTCAAGGGTTCGAACCTCATGTTTGGCGCATATATATATATATATATATATATTTGCTTTCGTAGATTTTCACGGGTACAGGAATGCAGGTTTTGGTGTCCTCGGGTGTCTTCCCGTGTAAAAGTTGGGGTGTCTAGGCGACGTTTCGACGAGGTCTCACTCGTCATCTTCAGGCTGGTGCTTTCGGCTTCTTGTTACTGGAACAGAGCAGGATCTCAGTGTTTGAGTTCCTATAAATACTGTTGAGGAGGTGTGGTGTATAGCCTCCAATGTTCTGGGCAGAGAGGAAGTTCCCAGGCTAGTGTGCCTTTTCTTCTTTTGTTCCTTAATTACTTGAGGGATATCTTGAGTGATTTCTTGAGTGATATCCTGAGTACCACTTAGGTGGGTCATTAGGTGTGGATTAGTTGCTAAAGCCTTCGTGTCTTGACCTCTTGAACTTTGTGAAGAGTTTTTCTGAGAAGATGGCTGTACTGCACTTAGTTGTGCTCTGGCTTGGCTTCGTGTATAGGGGCGAGCTGTGGTTTTGTGGCCTGTGCCAGCCAGATCTGTGTAGGGATTGCAGGGGGGTGCAGCATCCGGAGGTGCCACCATGGTTTGGCTACTGGATGGTGTCTGTAATTTATCTGTGGAGAGGGTCTGGGTTTGGGTCTGGTGTGGTTGATTGGTGATGGCGTTCTGTGTGCCTCTGGATCTGGTGTCGGTTTTTGTGGGGAGGGCTAATTTCCAGATGTCTGGCAGGCGGGATGTGTCGTCACGCTTGTTCATGTTGTGAGGGTGTTTCTCTATCTCGATGGCTTCCATGATTATTCTCTTGTGGTGATGTTCCATGTTAAAGAGCAATTTGGAATCTGCAAAATTAATTTCGTGTCCTGTTTCTTTCATGTGTTGGAAAAGAGAGGAAGTTTTTTCTTCTTTCTAACAAGAAGCCGAAAGCACCAGCCTGAAGATGACGAGTGAGACCTCGTCGAAACGTCGCCTAGACACCCCAACTTTTACACGGGAAGACACCCGAGGACA